CGGGTCCTCATTTCACCCGCTTCGGAAGGATGGAAGGCTGAGTCAACCCTGAGCCGGTGAGATTTGAACAGCCGAACTGCAGAACTGCAGTCAGCTGAAGTAGCCTGCAGTGCTGCGTTTAACCACTGCGCCACCTCGGCTCCTAAGATAAGTTTGGTCACTAAGAGGTTTTCAAAATATGAAATTTCAGAAAATTTTACTATGTTTCCTTGTGGAAATGGATTGGCTGCAATTTTAATTGATAGGGTAATTGTTCTTGACTTTCTTGTAACCTACTGTTAAGCTTGGTCATAAAATGTGGTAATAAATAATGAATCAATTTCTCTATCTATCTATCTACTTGTAGTTCAGCAGAACTGTCATTCTGGTTGCATTCTGGAATGCAAAATAATTCTACATTAGTAACCTTTTTGAATTTTAATATAAGAAAGAAAACTTCCCATCAATCCCCTTCTCTACCTAAAATAGCTTCTAGAAAATAATGCAGGAGGGTTTTGTTAAACACTGATGCCTATGGCATAGTGGGAAGCTACTGTGGGAATCATTATATATGACTTAGATCTAACACAACTGACTTATAAAAGGTAAGTTTTTTGCTCACTTCTGAATACATTTTTCTGTGGTCTATCCACAATGTTCATTACAGTCTCAGAAGCCATATTCAGGGCTTCTATATTCACATTGCATCTCTCTTATTGTATCTACTTGTTAAGAGGAGAAAGTCTGAAATGAGAACAACATTCTATATGTAAACTCCATGTAATTTAGAACACAAGTTATATAGAGGTCTAAAATGTGTGTGGGCCTACATATATAAAACAGTGCATGGGCACTGGCTAAAAGGGAGTGAATTCAGCCCCAGTCTTCTAATAACTGAGATGTGAAGCCTGAGGTGGCTCTATTGACCTGTATTACAATAATACATAATTCTTTTATTGCAAGATATGTGTTTTTGTTTGCTCATAATATTTATTATATTTTTAGGCCTGGTTGCAGTATGCCAGAAATTTGGGACATAGAAGATCTTACCAATGCTGGGAAAATTCCTTTATGCAATCTCATGTGCAAAGATTCCAGGCCATACTTCAGGACAGTATTCAACAATAATATATTCAAAATATTGGAAGTTACCAGAGAATGATTCTTCAGTACTGTATCATTTTTGGCAGTATATGTTTCAAACCAGCATTTAAAAAAAAATCTACTTGAATTCCATTTAAAAATAAAAAGAATTGATGTTAATTACAGGCACTGTTAGATTTGACTTGCATTCCAGAGAATTAAACACTCACGGTGTTTTGTTTTGTTTTTGAAGCAATTGAAGATAGTCATTGGATGAGATTCTTAGGAGTCCAACTGTATTTATTGAGAAGTAATGTTCATTTGAAAAAAAAAATGAAAATAATTTTAGTTTGGATCTGTAGGTGTTCTAAGATACTATATGGAATATCACTCTTTAAAATGTGAACAGTTAAAGTATATTTTGGCACAAATTTGTCTCCTCCTGGGACAGTTGTTTAAAATTACCTATGCAAATGTTTATTGCATTTCAACTCTTAATAAATACTGATCCTAAGAAAGAGAGCAAAAATATTTATAGAAAATAATACCAAACTCAATGAAATTGTGCAGGTAATGATTCCTAGAAAGAGTGCTGCAATTTTAAACCCTGAACAAATAAGAGTTGACAAAACCTAAGGTTTTCTCACATATAGTCATCATTATATTGCTAATTTAATTTTCTTTTCATGCTTCTCCTTTTCAAATAAGCATAGTTTTGTGAAAAAAGATGATTTCCATGATCCTATATTAGCATAAATTGCTCTTTACTTTATTAAAACTGAAAAAGTTCACTTATTACAACTTGCTTATTTGTTCTGCTTTAAAATTCTTAAAATTTGCATTGAGCCAAATGATATATAACAAGACTTCCTACATTCTCGTTTATCAAAGCTGAGAAAGCAATATAGTGTATGTGATTAATCTTTATTATTCCTGTCATTTTTCTTACTTTTCTTTCTTTTTTTTCTTTTGGTAGAATATTACATCTAAACCAGAATTCCTGGTTTGTTATTTTTAACAAGCCAAATTTAGAATCCAACATTTATTCTTGGCTTACTTATTGTCTTGAATCCAATAGTCCAAGGAATCCTTTTCTGAATATGTTTTTAAACACTTTCACTGGTAGCAGAAATAGTTGAAAAGTAAACCACCCAAATGTATATAGAAAGAGTATATATGCTTCTTCAATAGTTACTAAAATAGGACTGCTGAAATTCATGTAAATTTATCTGAATTTTTCTACTATTGACATGCTATGATGAACAAAATAAAGTTGTTGCATGTGTTAATCTTTTAAAAACAGAAATTTTCCAGGAAAATTGTACTATTTTGCCTTAATGCAATAAAGGATCATCATTAATCCTTGTAGAAAATTTAATGTAATAGGAAATAACATTTATTCTCTAAGAAATAAATTGTAACCACTTGGTAAAATGCAGTGTAAAACAATTATGCTTTTGTGTTATTCCATTATACACCTTAGAGTTACTTTATACAACATAAATTCCAATACTGCAGCAAATGTTAGGTAAGTTAAAACCGCATTCTTAGGCTCATTTTTATAAAACCCTTTTAAAACTTCAAAAATATTGTAGTCATTTCTGATTAACTGTAAAGACGATGCATAGCTCCAAACCCTGGTCGCAGTTCATTTTTTTGTCTGGTACTATAGACCATGATTGTATACATTCTGTGTATGTTTAAAACTGTTGAAAAATCTTACTTGTACAAGTTGTTTAAGAACTTAAACAAGTTGTTTAACTAAGAACGGTTGCCACCTTCCCTGACAAAGTACAAAAGGGTCAATTCAAAATGTAAAGAAATTTATTTTCTATTGAGGATTGAAGCGTAAACTAAGATCCATTCAAAAGGCAGGAAATTGGAGTCATTATTTTGTACTTAGATTATATTGTAGAATAGAAACAACTGTACTTTTATGGATTTTATGCCTATTGTTGATGTTCATTTTCAAATAAAAGTTTTGTTCATAATTGTGTTTACGTAAAAAGTATTTCACAAATAGCTATTATATTATTTTCCAGAAAATCATTGAAAAACAACTTTAATCTATTTTTATCTGAAGTTGCTCTCTAAAATATATTGTACTTACATATTAGAGAAAAGGCGAAAATACTGGTAACTGTTCTAACCCCTCCCCCCCCCCGTCCGGTAAGTAACGCCGACACAAACTTACTGTTAGCCACACTTTATTCACAGTAATTAATCACAGAAAAGATGTTGGCAGCAACCCAGACTCCCATAGATAAGAGATACAATACACACAAGAGCTTCTCCAGCTTGGTTGTGTCCTGCAAAAGATCTCCTCCCAAAGTCTCTTCTTATATATTCTCTTGGGAGGAGCCAAACCACAATGACCTGGGCCTGATTATCTCCTATGAGTCTGTCTCCATAATTGCTGCCTTCATTTCTCCGCTCTCCTCTGCCTGGCATCAGGGACAAACTCCCTTCGATCTTCACCACTGCTCCATGCCTCAGGCTCCTCTTGGTGGCCAACCAGCCTCTCTGGTCCCTGCTCGGAGCCTGAACCCTGCCCATGGTCCTCCACATCATCCGGAGCCGACTCATAGGGTCCCTCGCTATCGGAGTCCATCGGCAGCTCCAACGGCTGCTGCTGGCCTACAACACTATCCCTCACCCAGGGCCTTTCCCCTGGGTCTGACACTCAGGGTGCGGCCTCAAGGGATATTGTGCATGATAGGCCCGCACCAAAGCAGGGGCATGTACGTCTGTCGCATTGGGCCAAATCCCCCCTGTCCAACCCCCTCGTCCTTCCAGTCTACCAAGTACTGGAAACATCCCTTTAGCCATCTCGAGTCTCGGATCTTCATGCGGTAGCCGCGTCTCCACCCTAAGCGGTGATGGCTGGAGGGGAGATGGTTGGTGGAGAGGACAAGCCGACCGCTCAGGGATCAAGAGCGAGCCATGGAACACCGGGTGCATTCGCATCGAGCGTGGCAGGATCAGGCGATAGGCCACCGGGTTGATGACGGCCTCCATGGGGAATGGCCCAAGATACCGGTGGTCCAACTTCTTAGCCGGCCGGTGGGACAGAAGATGCCGTGTGGAACTCTAGATTCCTATGGTCCGTCCAGACCTTGACTTGATGCCTGACCCCCTCCAGGTGATGCCTCCAGGCCTAAAATGCCACCTTGATAGCCAGCAACTCCTTCTCCCAGAGGGTGTAATTGCGCTCAGAAGGATTGAGTTTCCATGAGTAATAAGCGCAAGGGAAAAGGGTACCTCCAGGGGCGTGAGCCTGCAGTAACACCACGCCCACCACAATGTCCGACGCATCCTCCTCCACCACAAACAGATGATGGGAATCGGTGCTTCAGGATCGGCTCCTTCATGAAGACGTGCTTCAGAGCCTCGAATGCTTGTTGCTTGTGGGCCCCCAGTGAAACGGCAGTTTATTCTGCAGAAACCGAGTCAGGGGCGCAGTCAAGAAAGCAAAGCTGGGGATGAAGGTCAGGTAATAGTTGGCAAACCCAAGGAGTCTCTGAACATCCTTCACATGCTGAGGAGGTTGCCAACTGCACCTTGCCCGGCTCCATCGCAATTCCTTCAGGGGAGATACGGTGTCCCAGGAACTCAATGGTAGTCTGCCAGAACTGACACTTCTCCAGCTTTGCAAACAAACGATGCTCCCGGAGTCGTTGCAGGACCAGGTGTAGATGTTGCTGCTGATCCTTCCGAGACATCAAGTAATCACGATGTCGTCCAGGTAAATGACGACAAACTGATCCAAGAGGTCCCAGAAGATATCGTTTATGAAGTATATGAGCCAAGGTGGTGCAGTGGTTAGGGTGCAGTACTGCAGGCCACTTTAGTTGACTGTGATCTGCAGCTCAGCAGTTCAAATCTCACCGGCTCAAGGTCGACTCAGCCTTCCATCCTTCCGAGGTGGATGAAATGACCCGGACTGTGGGGGCAAGTTGCTGACTCAATTTGCTAAAAAAATTTGTAAACCGCTTAGAGAGGGCTGAAAGCCCTATGAAGCGGTATATAAGTCTAATAAATAAATAAATAAGTGCTGGAAGACTGCTGGGGCATTGGTCAACCCAAATGGCATGACTGTGTACTCAAAATGTCCGTACCAGTTGCCGAAGGCCATCTTCCATTCGTCATCCCCCCGGATTCGGACCAGATTATAAGCGCCACAGAAGTCCAGTTTCGTGAACACCGTCGCCTCTTGGAGCCGTTCCAACAACTCAGAAATCAGGGGCAGCGGGTAACGGTTGCGCACAGTGATGGCATTCAGAGTCTCAGATCCACGGTCTTCTTTTTGACGAACAAGACCGGGGCAGATAGTGGCGAAGATGAGGGCTGTATAAAACCCTGGTCGAGGTTCTTGTCCAGAAAGTTCTGCAATGCAGCCAACTCCGGCTTGGACATGGAGTACAGGCAACCCACAGGGGGATTCATGTCTGGTACCAAGTCAATGGGACAGTCATAAGGCTGGTGCGGTGACATTTGGTCCACCTCCTGCTCGCTGAAGACATCTGTGAACTCTGCCACCCTGGGAGAGCTGAGCATCTGACCTGCGCAAATATGACGGGTGTAGTCGACACATTGCAGGGACAGGAACGTGATCAAGTTCTGCGACCAATAAATCTGAGGGTCATGCGCCCGCAGCTAAGCCGAACCCAGGACCACGGGGAAATGCAGGCCTGAAGCAACGTAAAATTGGATCACCTCATGCTCCCCAAGGATCAGGTGCAAGGGCTGCGTGGCGGCCTTGATAGGCCCAGATAGAAGCACCCAGTGGTCAATGGTCTCAATCCTCATAGGTGGGTCCACCGGACACAGAGGGACGTTGTACTTTGAGGCAAACGCCGCATCCATAAAGTTTGTGGTAGCCCCGGAATCGACCAAGGCATGGGTTGGAATTCCCTGTGGACTACCTGACAAGAGGATGTGTGCTGCCAAAATCATGTGCCATGGAGGCCTGTCCATCTCTGTTTCGGCGTGCACCTGGCCTAAAGTTTCCCTCAGATTGGGCTCCACCTGCTTCCTGACACATTGTTGTGGAGCTGAGGGACTCAGACCTTGCAACCCCCCCACTCTTCTTGGGGCAAGCTGTGGCCAGATGCCCAAGATCCCCATAATAAAAACACAACCCCCCTGTCCATCTCCGTTCGTGACAAGCGGGGTTTGGCGGTGCCCAAATCCATGGGCTCCCCCCATGGATCTATGGTCTCCTGTGGGATCGGCACCTCACTGGTCTCCTGGGACGTGCAGTGAGGCCCCCGCCTCTGCAACTGGCCATCTATCCGGAGGCACAGGTGGATCAACACGTTGAACGTCGGTGGCCTGTCCACCCGCACCAGCTTATCCTGCAGGTCATCCGACAGCCCATCCTGAAAGGTGTCATGAGGGCTGCCTCATTCCAGGCCGAATCTTGACTAAGCAGCCGGAATTCACTGACATAATCCTACAAGGAGCCACGGCCCTGCTGCAGCGTCTTGAGCAGTCTGGTGGCTGTTTCCTCCCCCCCCCCCCCCCCCCAATTTTTTTCTTTTATTTTTAAACATAAAAAGAAAAACAACATAAAAAATTCTCATCCATTACATACAGCATGTCATTTGTTTAGAAGTGTTTTTGCATCCATATTCTCAATTACATATACAATCACAGATTTTTCATCTAATATAACTAAATACCTCACTTTCATTATATAACATATATTCAATTGCAATGAATTTTTTTTTCAATAAACCTAATTCCCTTACATTCTTGATTGTCTGTTTAATAACAATATACCTTTATATACTC